TATAAAAAATTAATCTAAAGAAAATTGATTCTCAGACATTTCATAATGTGAATGCTTTGCTTTTTACTAATGCTCTTTATCTGTCTACAGTAGAAACAGATACTCAGTGGCTTACGCAGCTCAGAAGCCATGGCTGCTGAACGCAACCGTGGAGGAGAACATTATCTTTGGAAGCCCATTTAATAAACAGAGGTAAATATCAACCCTCTTGCAAAAAACACCTGGCAGCTTCTTTTAAAGAGGTTTTTGACTTCTCCTTCTGGAGGAAGTTTGTAGGTTCTGAAAAATAACAATGCACATATTAACCCTGAAGTGGAATTAGCTAACCTGACTTTAGCCATCTCAAAGGAAGGTTTCTATTTTAAATTAGTCTTTCAAGGCTCCCCCTCTAACCAGAGTGCATGTCGAAGATGTTTGTGAGAAATCACATAGTCGCAGTGGCTCCCCATGGAATGCAGCAGAAGCCATATATGTATTTTTCAAGCAGCTAAAGTTAGGTGAGATGAATCCCATCTTTGGAGACTACTGACATATTTTTGTTTCGCTTAATGGAGCCTGAGGTTGCCAGAGGACTCTGGAAATAGGGATTCTAGGCATGTTTCCACTGCGTTTATGTACTAATCCTGCTGTGATCAAGTTACTGGAACAGTCACTTTACAAAAACACTGCATGTATGAAGATGGTGTGCCTCAAGGAAATAACCTTAATTCTTCCTTTAGAAATACAGGACAAGGGAGCGTGAAAGCTGAGGTGCATAGCTTCCGTTGTGCCTATCCAGCACTTGCTTCTTGTGTCCTTCTAAAAGGTCAGCTAACAAATGCAGTGGAAAAAGTGACTTGACTTGAGGAAAACAAATTGCTGATGTTTTCAAAGGCAACACTCTCTTTGTTTTAAGTTATTAAAAATACATCCCATTTCTCTCAGTGTGTACTTTGTCAAGATGTATGACTCCATTCCCACTTAATAAAACTTAGCAATGACCAAATATTTCAAAATCCAGATAAACATCTAAAATTTCGGGGACCAGATTCTTCAGCTACTGCATTCATCAGCTTAATTTCACTTGTATCAAAGGGGCAAGGCCAAATTACACCACTCAAATAGTCTGATCCCATCTGCTTATTAGAAGATCATTTGTGATAATACATAGACCTAGAAATCTCATAACAAATTTCAAGTTTTTGCAAGTGGTTTCTGATTCTGGCAAGATCAGAAGCACTGTAAGGATCCTTTGTCCTGTAATCACACTGAAGTAAATGAAGAGGCACCTAAAGGGGGAAGAATAATAACTCATTGGAAAATGGCTTCAAATACTCCAGAGTCCAGCAAAACAGCTCTGCGATAGGGAGGAATGTACTCAATAATTTACGTCACTGAATCTTTAAAAAGTAGGCTTGCCAATAAAGATCTCTAATAAATATGTCATTTTTTACAACGCTTAGTTTACAATGCTCCATGGTTAGTTGCTGAATAATCATTTTGCCCTACTTATTTTTGCAATTATCCAACCGTCACGGAGACATAATAACTTAGCAGTGAATTCGAGCTGGAGGTTTTTGTGTTAGCAACGTGACTAGTTAAATAATTTCCATGACCATATTGTTTTTACAGGTACAAAGCTGTTACAGATGCTTGCTCTCTGCAGCCTGACATTGACTTACTACCATTTGGTGATCAGACAGAAATTGGAGAAAGGGTAAATAATATGAATACTTTTACATCTGCTTAGCCTGTGTATTAAGGCAGCACTCTCTGATGTCACTTAGAGAGATCTAATCTGTATTGGACTGCCAGCCTGGTACGTAATTGTAATTCACCAGGGTTTACTGCAAAAAAGTTAAAAACTATTTTCCTTCTTCAGCTGTTTCTTAAATGGGATTTTTTGATCAAAGTCTCCTACATTTTGCTTGCTGAATTTGATGCTAGTATTGGTTGCATTTTTCAATCTAAGAAGCCTACTGTGCTTAGAGAAGCTCTTCATAATTTACCCATGATTAGTTGTTTAATAATAATTTTTCTTCTGATATTATATGAGGCTTATGCTTGTTTATCAACAGGATTAGCATTTTAACAAAGCTTTTTATTTTTATTTGAACTCTGTATAATTGTAAAAAAATCACATTTCCAAAGTCCTATCAAAATGTTTATTCAAAGATGCATATTTCTGATCCATTATACTCATTAGGGGATTAATTTAAGTGGCGGCCAACGACAGAGAATCTGTGTAGCTCGAGCACTCTATCAGAACACCAACATTGTCTTCTTGGTAAGATTTTTCTTTTTCACATGGAAAGTTTGTAATAAAACTGTCAGTCTTTATATTTAACTTTAGAAAAATTTATATTAGATTTAGAAGACTATAGAGACTTGTATTCAACTCCAAATCCAAATTATAGCGATAGGAAATGAACATCCACCAGAGGCAGCATCAAAACATACTGGGAGACTCATGAACGTGGGATTTGCTACAGAGATTAACACTGGAAGAGTAGAACAGACTGTCTAACTTCTGCTCGCTCTCAGTGGTGACCTACTATCAACACAGTCCCACTGAAATCAGCAGGACTTCTGATAAAGAAAAGCACTATACTGCAACTACTTGTGAGCAATGAACATACTGAGGGTTCAGCACTCTCCTGCTGTGGATTTGGACAAACTTTCCCTTCTGTCTTACTAATTTGAAGGCATGTCAGGAATTTCAGAAGGCTACTGCTCATGAAGGCGCAGTTTGAGCCGCTTCAAAATTAACCAGGGACTTTGGTTCTCAGAAAAAAAGTGTTTGCATATAATATCCTTATCTGAATGTTGTTGTCTTGTTGCTAGCCACACTCACTCAAAGTGAAGACTAAGCACATCTGCAGTTTAATTTAAGCTTGGCTCTGGATCCTGGCATTTTCAAATTTGGGCTAGAAATTTCAGTTCTAGTGTTCCTGATCCGATTTACTCCACACTGTCAGTGTGGCACCAGCACTGCACTCATCTAGACACAAAAAAATTAACTGAATCCATTGCTATGATTTGAAGAGTAATGGATTCTAGCTCACTATTTCATAGTGCAGCCATCTGACTAGGTCTTTGTCATTAGAGAGAGATGAAACACTAGTAATGGCAGATGTTTTGTATTTTTAAAGAACTCTTGAAAGAATAACCCCTAATTTTTCTATCCTGGTTGATTTTTTTTTTTTTTATTTGATTTGATTGCAGGATGACCCATTCTCTGCACTGGACATTCACTTAAGTGACCATTTAATGCAGGAAGGGATTCTGAAGTTTCTCCAAGAAGACAAGAGGACTCTTGTCCTGGTGACACATAAATTACAATATCTACCACATGCTGACTGGGTAAGAGAAGAGATACCATGATTAAGATTTGCTAATGATGAATGTACACTTGAAGTTAGCACTGTAGCGCTCAATGAGATCACTATTTTCTCTCTAACAGATTCCTCCTTCTTAATTCCGTATGTCAGGTGGCTAACTGCCACTTTACATAATACAGATTTTATAGTAGAAGGAACAATTTAATTTTTACATTATTTGTATAGATTTTTTTGATTGAAAGCCACTGGAGAATTATCACTTAATTGCAAACATGACTATTACTTTTTATGTCTTGTCCATGCTTTTTATAAGGACAGGTAAGCATGGCTTATAGAAGTTTCAGTTTATGAGCTGTCCAAACAGCTGTTATTTTCCTTTTTGTCTTTGTCCTATTAAACTGTTTTTATCTCAACCCATGAGTTTTCTCACTTTTACCCTTCTAATTCTCTCCCCAATCTCACCAGCGGGGAGTGAATGAGTGGCTGCGTGGGGCTTAGTCACCAGCTGGGGCTAAACCATGACACAAACTTAAGAAGTTAGTAATAAAATACTGAATAAAATGAACACAGAAATTTGCATAACGGTAATCTCACCAATACTGAGACATATCCTGCAAGATGCAGATCAGTGATTATGGTATCTATGTTGCTGAGTAGACCTACTGGATGCTTTCTCCTCTAGATCATAGCAATGAAGGATGGAATGGTGCTTAGAGAAGGGACACTAAAAGATATCCAAAACAAAGATGTTGAGCTATATGAACACTGGAAAACTTTGATGAATCGCCAAGATCAAGAATTGGAAAAGGTAAATAGGAGCAGTTGGGCAAGGATGACCTTTCTGAAAAGAAATATTTTTTAGTTAATTTCTAAAAAAACCAAACCATGTCATAAAGGAAGTTTTAAACTAGACATTAGGGAAAAAGCACATGAACCATAAGGAGCTTTAAGGACTGGAAAACATTGTCTGGGAAGTCTGTGGTATATCCGTCATGGGTGGTTTGTAACGACACATTAGGCAAACAGCCTTTTGAAATGCAGTGTACAAATGATCCTTTGCCAGGGCAAGGGGCGGGTAAGAGACTTCCTAAAGCATCTCTTAGCTTTTTATTCTGTTATTGCTGTGAGCATTTAGGATTCTCTAAAGACTATTTTTGAAGTTTTTATCATTCCGGAAGAGAGGGAATGAAAGAATAGAAGACAGAGGGAAGAAAGTGGACAAGGCGAGATTTTCTGAAAGATAAATCCTAAAATACTGTGCTTTTGCATTCTGTGAGCTAAATCATCCAAATAGTCTCCTTGAGGTTACGGTTGATGCTACCACAATGGCATACAGCTAAGCTCTCAAATTAATAAATAAGTTTTCTTATCACAGGATATGGAAGCTGACCAGACTACTCTTGAGAGAAAAACTCTTAGAAGGGCCATGTACCCCAGAGAATCCAAATCACAACTGGAAGATGAAGATGAAGGTATGTTTTTTCATTTCACTTTATTTATTCTATTACCATGTGTCATTGCCTTTCCACTTGAACAACTGGCAGTTCATAGCAAGGAAGTATGAAGATGTTGAAGACACTTGGTAATAACAGTGGAAAGTCCAATACTTTGACCTGTTTAGAATATGACTTGTTTAAGGGATTCTCCAAAGATTTCTCTAAACATTGTGCAAGGATAAGGTGTACCAAACCAAGTTAATTTCTTTGCTAGCTCATACTGCCTGGAGGTAGTGAGGGGTGAGATAGAAGTAAAACAACGGTAATAATTGTTATTAATGCAAATTAACTCTGCCTAGTCATTGGCACAATAACGTTAGATCATCTGTAGCCCTGTCACTCTGTTCTGGGCTCTTGATATATCACCACATGATTAAATTTGTAGATGTTTTCAATTTCTTTTTAGATATGGAGTTAATCTGCTATCTGGGAGAAATTTTAGGCTTTGTTCTCAAGCTTAGCTTCTTGTTCTTCCCAAATCTTGGTGGTTTTAGAGGCTGCAGATTCAGATTCTTGTCACTTTTAAAGTGGGGTGAGGGGCAGACAAACGGTTGAATATTACCAGCTGGCAACAAGACCTATCAAGAACATCCCTGGGATGCTTGACCATGCCTAAATGGAGTAGTCAGTCCTGGCAAGCAGTAAGTTTGTGCCAGGGAAGAGAAGAGGTGAACTGTAGGCTTCATCTTAATTCAACAGGAGCACTAATTGCAGGGATTGTCATGACGATGTTGACTGGAGTGATTGCAGAATGCACAAAGGCTATTAGCAAGCTCTTTACTGCTGCCTTGTGTTTCATCTGGCAATGCTCATGATGGATTGTCATCTTAAGTCATAGGTCTGTAGGTCCTGAATTGCTTCATTTTGAAGAGATTTCCAATCACTGCACAATAGGCAGAGCTGGACCCCAAAGCCCCTGAGATGGAAATATTATGTTGGCTTCATATTTCTTTGGCAGAGCTGAGCAGAACACCTCTTACTATGTCCAGTCATCAGTATACGTTATCAGTTAAATTCTTGGAGGAGTTTAAATTGAGGACTTTTCCAAGCTCCTCCTTTTGGTCTGTGCAAGAAAGCCTCGCCAAAAACCTGTATCTTCTTTGTGGGGTAAGATAGAAAACACAGGGAAAAAAAGACATGCCCAAGTAGTCCACAGAATGCCTGCAAAAAAGGATCATTAAGATCATAAAACTCATATCAATAACTTCAGGGCAGAAATATAACCTGACATTGCATTTCAGGTCATCCACACTTATTATATTACCTAGGGAACATACACAAAGTCTCTGTGTCCCAAAAAGTGTAGAATTTCATCTTTCGAAAAATCACTAATTAATTTTTGATGTTCAAAATCAGAAATGGGTGAAAATGCAGTCACTTCAGAGCTGTCAAGAACAGGCTGACATTTCTCTTCCCCAAGTGCAGCCTGCAAGGCTGTGATGTATATTCTTACTACCTGGAAAAAAAGTTATTTTTAAATGTAATGTTTATGCAACTATGAAATATATATTTCCCATAACAGAAGTCTTCCACCAACTGTATTTCAGTGTAACATCAACAGTTACTCAAAGAGCACAGGGGAAGTCTTATGAAAATATCTCTGAATTGTTTGCTGGTTTTAAATGACAAATTTAATTTTGCTGTTAAAATTAAAATTAAAAAGAAAGAAGTCAACCAGATCCAGTAAACCCAGATATAATTCTATGTAATGAATCCAAGCTAACTTGATCAAATGTCTGAGTCACAGAGGAAGAAGAGGAAGAAGATGAAGATGATAATATGTCAACTGTCTTGAGGCTCAGAACAAAGATGCCATGGAAAACCTGCTGGAGATACCTAACCTCTGGAGGATTTTTCTTGCTCTTTCTGATGATTTTCTCAAAGTTGTTGAAACACTCAGTTATAGTGGCCATAGACTATTGGCTTGCTACGTGGACATCCATGGACAATGTGAATGATGTCAGGAGCACTGATGATGTTAAAAGCACAAATAAGGTGGGCCATATCTTGGAGCTTGACAGGGAAAAAAAAAAGAAAAATGTTCTAAAGTGATTATTTGCTGTTCATCTAGAAGCCAGCTAGATTGGAAAGACAAGTAGATATAGTAAGATTGATTATTATATATGATGGATTAATTGTTTATGATAAAACAAGACAATTCAAATTTTATCAGTCTTTTCAGACATGCAAAACTGAAACAGAAGCATATTTGAGGTCAGAAAAATGATTGACTTTTCAAAGGAAAGAATCTCATACTAAACTTTTGCATCTGGATTTTTTTACACCTAAGTGAATGACCCCATTTTCCTAAGTACTGGCTGTCCAGTAACGTCCTGCCAGAAAAAAAAAAAAAAAAAAGGTCTTTGAATATACTACTTAAATACAATCTGCTTATAGCTGTAAATTTGACTTATATACAAATATCTCACTGGAATCCACTTAGTAAACTTTCAGAAGGCTTAAATGCGTTATAGCCCTGGCAGATTAGTTTAGGATTTGGTCTGGGAATTTTAGTGGTGCTTGAACTTCATAAAGTGGAACTTTCCAACACCTCTCAAATGCCTTAATTCTTGAGAGGTTCTATTTTGGTTGTCTGAGTTTCTTGGCTAACAATTTGCATACTTTTGTATTTGTCCAGTTAGTCTACCTTCACCAATTCTAAGTACTATCACTTCAAGGTCTTGAAGGGTACTCATCAGTAGGTTGAGGGATCTTAGAACTGTCAGATTTTCTAATTATGTGAACTTAATGAACTGCAGTTCCATCATAGTTTTTTTGTGTCCCAAGGACTATATGAATATAATTAAGTCATGTGACATACTAGCTGATTGGTACCAGGTACCTTGAGAACTTCCTAGCAGAAAAAAGAAATGTGTGTTTATTTCTAGAATTGATGTATTTGTCATTTTATTAGACTTATCATGTAGCTGTCTTCAGCATCCTCTCTGGAGCAGGGATTGTCCTTTGTCTCATCACATCTCTGACTGTGGAGTGGATGGGCCTCACAGCAGCCAAGAACCTACACCATAATCTCCTCAACAAGATCATCCTTGGACCAATAAGGTACAGCAAAAATAATGTTTTTCCTGAAAACCTACATGGCCAAAACCTGTCTTGGTTTTATAACTAGGAGGATACTCCTATGAAAAACTCTTGTAATTGCTATGTTTACATCAAGGCCTCAAAAAGTGAAAATAACTAGTGAAGTGTGTTTGGGGGCGGGGGGAGGGGGGAATTCCATGTCAGAACATTTCACATTCTGCTCCTTTTTTTTTAATCTGGCTTAAATATGTGAGATAGCTGGCACCCCCTTCAAGGCTGTTGTGTCAAGGAAAGCTTTGAGTACAGTTCTAGCTCCGTGGCATCCAGCTCCAACCCTGCCAATGGGCATGGAGTCTAACAATATGGACACCAAATTTCTTCTGATGACCAGTGACAAGTTCCATGCGTGATAACCACTGTCTCTCACAGCCAGCAGGATGGCCAAAAGGATGCCTGCATAATGAATACAGTAATCACGGTTCTTTGATGAAACACCAAGAGTCCTGATGCCCAGTACTGTGCAGGAGGTTGAGTAGCGGCCAGGGACCCGCAGTGATTCTTGGAAGGGATCTTAAATCTTGAGGGAGCATGGATGAAAGAGCAAGCAGCAAGACGCTAGGTTTTTGGAAGAAGAAACTTCAAAGTTTAGAGGGGGGGAATGCCAAGAGAAGCATTTGGATAGTCAGGATGCAGACACTGTGTTGTGCTGTATTATTAATTTTTATTGCTTGGTTTTAGAAAATGTTGGGACACAGCTCTGTGTTCTGTCTGACTGGGCTTTTTATCCAAAACTGGAATTCCTTTTCAGGTAACTTTTTGGTTTTAATTTGTTCAACAGGTTTTTCGATATGACTCCACTGGGGCTAATTCTAAATCGCTTCTCTGCTGATACAAATATCATTGATCAGGTAGTCATATTCTGTTTTATTACATCTTGGCTTTGTAAATTTTCACTTAGCTACTGAATAAGATGATGTATTAAAATATTCAGTAGAGAAAGGCATAGCAAAAACAGACTCTGGGAATTATAATAGACAAATTCAAAATAGAAAGTATACACACATTTTGTCATTTTTGTAGGGCTACAAACATGGTGGGAGATGGTAGCTCTTAATGTCTTCATATGCAGATGTGTTGCTTCTGTTGGAAGATCTGGATTAGCAAAACACCAGATTTTGGGCTCAAAACAGGAAACAGGGTAGAATATAATAACTTTAACTATATGGGAGTACACATGACAAATAGATGTTCCATCCTGGCTGTAGCACATGTGAATTTAGAACATTCAGGGAGAGGAAGGGATGCTTTCACTATGGCTTTGAATTAAAATGTTTGGATGAGTAATAATCGTGAATGCAAGGGTGATGGGAACATGGAGGGGAAATTAGGCTCTGAGAAAAAGCATGCTGTTTCTCTAAATATTTGGGATATCAAGAACAATTTTCCCTTTCTTGCCTGTTACATAAATGAGGTGGAAATGGCTTCTATTTCCCCATGATCTTTAAAACACTGACCTTTAGAAAAAAACCTACTGACTCATTTTTTAACTTCTGCACATTTGAGTAGTAGACCCACAGAAACATAAAGGCTCCTGACAGAAGGAGAATATCAATGTGTGCACAGTGGTATCGTGCCACTTTCCCTGTGGTCCTCTATAGGAAAATGCATATCGTGGTACTACCGGTGACTTGTTTGTTTTTTGTTTCATTCTAGCACATTCCTCCTACCCTGGAGTCTCTTACCCGGTCCACCTTACTCTGCCTGTCAGCCATTGGAATGATCTCCTATGCCACTCCGTGGTTCCTGGTTGCCCTCGTGCCTCTTGGGATAGCATTTTATTTCATCCAGAAATACTTCAGAGTTGCTTCCAAGTATGTATTAAAAAACAGTCCTGAAAATTTCTTTTAAAAAAATTGTCCATAAGAATTTTGATGGAACGTGAGGTTGTAGGAGCTAGTATAAGGGGAAAATGGCCATGGCACCCTGCATTCGATCCTGAGGTATGAGTTTGAGACACACATTGGAGGATGCGTCCAGCTGACCTGACTACAAATGAGGTGTTTGGGGAAGTAACACTAATTGCATCACTTTTGTACACTGTTGGCTACAGAGTCAGATGAGCATGAAGTTTGTTAATCAACTGAGTCAGCTCGCATCTGGTCAAAGCTCCTCTTTGACCTTTTGAGGGTTAGTAGAGAATGGAAAATAACTTCCTGAATTAACGTCAGTCACGGTTTTTTCTACATATTGGGAAAAAAAAACTCCACAGAAAGTCATTTCCACTGCACAGCAACATTTCATGTTCAGAATGGTTTGCTGGCTATAAAGAGTACATTTTTTCAGCAAAAAGAGTGTCATGATTTCTTAGAGTCATGCTTGTAGTGCTAAATCCATTATAAAATTTAGTAAAATATCTTAAGCAAGCCATTTGAAATTTTTTCTTAAATTCAGCCAGTCATGCTTTTTTTTTTATGATCCAGATTTCTGGCTGGATTTATGCCACTTTCCAATACTTAAAAACACCCGTCAAGCTGCCTGCTGACCTGCAGGGAGGCCAAAATAACCTACCATCATTAGCAACTGTCACTTCTGGCCCTATCTTTGCAGTATGCACATGGTAAAGCATTAACTGCTGTTTGGTAGCATCCAGTTAAGAGACATGGTGATTTTCAACTGAGCATTCCAGTACAGTTGACCTCACAGACAATACTCTCATTTAGGTAGCCTGAGAAAGAATTATGTCAGTTATTCCCCTTAAATCAATGGACCAAGAGAGGCACAGAGCAACATATCAATAATTTAGCTTCACTTTATCCTACTTTTCATCAGCTTTCCTCAGAGTTTCTGAGGAGATTTATTCATAAGAAAACTCTTTAATCAGAAAACAAAACAAAAATGTTTAATTCTTAAGTAATTTGCTTAAATTCTCTCAGATTTTTCAGAAACCTTGTTCTTTCCACACCAGGTTTCCAAACTAATGCTGTACGTGTCAGTACACCAGGTCTCAAGGTGGCTAAGGAATCAGCAGAACTGGTTTTCATTCTTCAGTGCATTATGGTCTTCTGAGTGTCACCCTGTTCTGATACACATAGCAGTGCACACTGTTTAAACTTCTTACTTAAAATACATAAGAGTAGGCAAAATCTGATGTCTGAGACCCTGGGGAAATACTACAGTTTCTCTCTGTGATTTTATATGTGAGATTAAAGTCTCCATCTGTCTCCAAACCTGGTTTTCCCACCTGCTGTATCGATAGCCGTGCCATGCAAGCTAGCAGGGTTGATCACCCTTGTGGGTCAGCGCACACACGCACACGCACCTATTGGCTCTGCAGTCGCTGATCTTTTGCAAGTCCATAACTACCTCATTCATTTTATTGCCGTATGGGTTTCTGGGAAAAGCTGTATCAGCAAGTGCTTTTTTTCTTAATCTGTTTAAATTAAACTTTTTAAAATAACTTGTGAAGCATCCAGGGTTGACTTGTGTTCTTTAAATCCACAATAGAAATTAATAAATCCAATTTATTTCCAGAAAAAATAATCCTGGGAAATGTAGGATGAAGGAATAGCTTCAGCCAGTATTTATAACTTACTTGCATGCAGTACTTTCCAGGCATATAAGCTTCACTAATTTTTAGAAATGCAAATATTTACAGTGTTTCTTGCAGCACTTTGACTCTTTGTTGTATTTTCCATTACATCTCTCAAAAACTTCTGTATATTTTCCATCATAAATTTGAAAGAGAGCATATTTATCATCAAAACATAAGCAGCAACTTCAGTTCTGTATACTGTAACATTCAGCATTATGGAGCAGTTATTTCTCCTGGCCTATCCAATACCCTGTGCAAACATAGTAGGATTTTAATAAAGAGTTGAAATATCTAATGATCTGGCCTCTCTTCTGTTTATACAACTGGCTGCTATGATAATGGCAGTGTGTTACAGAAAGATGTATTTGTCCCCGTGGTTTGGAAAACGTTCCTGTTTCAGGAGACTGGAACTTTTTAGACTTAGATATCATTGCTCCATGCAGGTCTTGAAAATACCATTGCTGAATAACTGAGGAAATTTCTCATTCATATTGTTTCTCTGTCAGTGCTGTCTCTATTTCAACCAATGTGATAATATTAACACTACAAACAGAACGTCTACTATAGTCTGTTATATTTTAGGTTCAGCATGTTGTGGTACTTACCAATACTCAAAATGAGGCAAAGTTTATATGGAAAGGCACCCTTTTTGTTAGGCCAGCTGATAGGGTTGCAATAAAATAGATAAACTTGCAGCTATACAAACTCTATATTATACCTGATGTAAGAGCCACAAATAACATGTCATAAAGTTGAAAATCAACTGTTCTGAATTTAAGTTAATTATATTAATAAATTAGAATGTTTAACAATAAAAGGTAATTAGGATCTGGCTAAAAGGGACAGTAGGGTTTTATCCAGGAGAGATGTGATGTCATTATTGCTGTGGGACAAAGAGAAGCTCAGCTGTGACCAAAAGCTAGATCTCTGGAGGTGGCTAGGAAATGATTCAAAGGCTCCCATGGCAAAAAAGAAATACGGTATTCCCATGTCCGTGTCTTTCTATAGTATAGAAATACTATATTATGTGATCCTGAAAAGAATATGTGCAATACATAAAATGTCTATTCTTGTCTGTTATGCAGTAAAATTTTTACAGACAGAGATGTTTATATTCTAATGGCTGCCTGTTGTTTTTCATACTCCCAGGGACCTCCAGGAACTTGACGACAGCACCCAGCTACCTTTACTCTGCCACTTCTCTGAGACAGCTGAAGGCCTTACCACCATCAGAGCATTCAGGTACGTAAAGCAAATTATTAGAGAGAGGCTTGGGTTCCTCTCTGGCTGGTGCAGCTTGTTGAACCATGTCTGAGGGCAAATTATTGGATTTGGTAGACTTTAATTGAAGTATCTCAAAATAGAGAAGAAATTTTTGTTTTCCTGTTGCTTTTCCACATCTCTAAATGCTTGTGCATATTTTCAGTAACACACTCATTTACCTGTATTGGTTCTCCACTGAATTAAAGTTGATGACTTTTTTTAGGATACAGTATTTGAACTTTTAAGGTGTTTAGTTTAACCGTGCCTTACTTGGACAGCAGGGAGCTCTCCTTTGCCAGGCAGGCACAGACCCCTCTGCTACACCCTACAAGCTGTGCTGTCCATGTGCCCCTGAATCACTTCTGTATTTAATCGACTCCTCAGGCAGGGAAACATCGTTATAGTACTCTCCAACTAGAAGTCAGTATGCAACTAGAGAGACTTTCCAAGAACACTATGGCAGATCTGAACTTGATCTTAATATTGTAAACCAAATCAAAAATTAAAAATAAATTCCGGAAGAATCAGAGGATTTTTCCAACTTTCCATGCATATATTTTTTCTCTACTTACTACATGAAATATAGGCCAAATTCTCCTTGTAGATTCACTTCATTATAGCCAGCATGACTCTGTCAAAGTGCCAGCTTGATGTTGTCCCCCAGTAAGTGCAACTTGCACTCATTCCGCACAGCGTAGAATTTCAAACCACAATGGATCACACCGCACTGCTATTTACACATGTATTTGATCAACTTCTTAAGACTGCTTCATCACTTCAAGCTAGCTTTAGGACCTTGGCTATTAGTTCAGAGTGCTGCGGTAAGGACAAGTAAAAATGTTGCTGTGTTAAAGAGACATGAGCCAGTGGTCAACAAGAAATGTTGTAGCAAGCTTTATCAACCAGAATGATGCATTGAAATAGTAAGTCATAATTAAGGCTCGATGCTGATGTATGCTGAGTGCTTCTTGAGATGTTCAGAGTAGCCTTTCATCACATTATCTCCTGAGAAAGATGAAGGAGCTTAGCGCTTCTTGGGAGTTGTTCAACTCTTTTTTACCTTACAGCAATGTGGGCTTGGATGTCAGAGAGCAAAAGACAGCCCTAGGGAAGGACTAGGCGTCATCACCATCACTGGAGTTTTCCAGGATATCTGGTGCTAATCAAAGCCATTTCATTTCCCTGTTTGTGCTTCACTTTCAACCAAACCTGAAGTCTCCAGCGTTTTTTGTCAGCAAGCTCATATTTACTAATAGTCGAGTTAGTCATTCTCAGTGGTTTCAGTTCAGTATGTTCCAGGATAAAATAGAGCAACCTCTCATATAATTTACCACAAAGTAGCACAGTTGGATCAGAAAACAATTTCAGTGACCTTTGCTGTTTGTCATCTGACAGGATAAAAGTCTAAAACTGCCCAGAAGATGAGCTGGATGTGGATGAAAAGATACAGACTTGAGCATGTCAGATTTTCCATTAGGAAAACAGGAGTTTTGCTGCCAGAAAGGCAGATGAGTAGAATATTCAGTGCATCTTTGCTCCTCCCCACGTCATTACTGTTACCAGTTGTTTTGGGGAGGTTGCTTGCCATGTTTACAAGCTGTGCAAAGGGAAATAAAGTATCAGTGGGAAAAAAAAAAAAAGAAAAAAAGAGGTTTCTGGCAGAACAGGGGTTACAGGTGCTTCACAGCAGGGCCCCGAGACTTTGAAATGGAAGAACTGGCCATGATGAAACAGACAATGAGCTGCTGAATGAAGTTTGGCTAGTTTCTTCAAGCGATGGCATCTAACGGACAGTAGAATATGAAACAATGAAATGGTTTCCATCTGACTGCAGGTCATATCTAAAGTACTGCAAGGCACCATGAATTCAATACACCTACACCAACAGAGATTTCCCCCTCCCTCCCCAAAGTGTATCTGCGCTCTTAGGTGCTCTGACATCCTTGCACTGATTTTAAACATGATGGGCATGATATGGGGGAGAGAGAAACAAGTGATAGTGGAGGTAACACCGCTCATTTTTGTAATTCAGAAGTGATCGATAGTTCTCCCTCGTTGTAGCTGTCCGAGTTGCTTAGGCAAGGTGCGACTGGCTGAGAAAACAGCCGAGCTGAGTAGCTGAAAGGTATTGATCTACAGATCAATCTACAGTCTACATTAGTTGAAGCCTTAGAGATGTCACTCCGGTTGAAGACTCCTGCAACTGGCCAGGTAACTTCTGAAATCAGATTTTAAGCTGACAGGTGAGTCCTCTGCTCTTGCTAGTGGCTTGTGAAGAAGAGATGGGCCATGGCAGCACTCACCTGTGAGAGGACTGGAGGGCAGCAGCAGCCACAGTCCAGAGCTACAAAAGCAGATATGCTCGGGGAAGTAACACGTGTCCCTAGCACCCTGGCACTGCAGGCTCTTTGAAGGGACAGACTCTGATCCAAAATCTAGTCCAATATAATTGCTTGTCGAAGAAATTCCTCCCCGTTGTACATGTAGCTCTACCTGGTTAAGGAGAACACTGGCAGCAGGCACGGTTCCTTACAGAAGAGTTTTTAACCCAAAGTTTGGCAAAGGCAGAAGGGCAAAAAGTTTGTGTTTGGGGGGAGGGCAGGGAGAGAAGAGCTTAATGTTTCATCCTTTTGTGTATGAGCGTGTAATGTGTTGTAATATAACAACTTTGCTCTTGGCAGGCACGAAGCCAGATTTAAACAACGTATGCTGGAACTAACGGACACGAACAACATTGCCTACTTATTTCTATCGGCTGCCAACAGATGGCTGGAGGTCAGGACGGTACGTTCAGTTTAGTCCCAGCCATGGTTTTGAAACCTTGGAAGCAAACAGAGACTTTGCCTGATGCAGAGAAGATAATAACGAGAATTAATCTCGCAATGAGATTATACACACTGTTCCTTAAAATAGATCGGGATTGTTTATGTTAAACCCATAGGGTTTTTTCAGCTTTCTTGGCCAGGAGTGAGAAAATACAAGTCTCCCTCATCATTTGCTGTTGTGAATGCTAGTGTCTGAAGAGAGTGCAAGAACAAACATTTACATAACTTGAAATAAGGCTTTCTCACCTACTGTGCAGCATCTGCAGACCTGCTGCAGCAGGACCTACTTTCAAAGCAGAGCACGGCTTTTAGGTAGTTTTGTGAACTGTGCCATCATTCTGCCAGGGCTGTTTTAGGCACCACTGAGCTTCCAGGTCCTGAGGTTTCTCTCCAGCAACAGACTTTACCCCACAGCTGTAATTTAGAGCCCCCATTTGCAGTGCCCTTACTGCAGTTGTGAGCCCATACTGTGATATTTACAGTACTGCTCAATATCATGAAAGATGGCAGAACTAGACTCCAACGGAAAAACAAATGACAGTAGGGCACAACGCAGCCAGTGCCAGTGAGACAGGCTCCTGGCTTTTATGGGGGCTCTCCAGGGACAGCACAAGAGGAGGTTCCCTGCTCTGCAAGGCAAGGAGAGGCAAGCAAAATCACTGTGATTTCCTTATTCATTTGACACGAAAAGAGCAGTGAATAAACAGAGCAGTGACCTGATTCTGCTAGACACAAATAGTAACAGGCATGATTAATCCTCACTTCAAAGGCTATATCCTTACCTTCATTTCCGGGTACGCTGGTGGAGCAACAAAGTTGTGCTCCATTTCTTATGATGGCACAGCTTTCCCTCGTGCATGAAGCTTTCAGCTTCCTACAGCATCCAAGATCAAGCTGAACTTGCTTTCAAATCAAAGACAGATAAATAACAGAGCAACAACCAATCCTGGAACAAACTGTGGCAATGCCTGCTAATGTCTCACAGTCTTAGACTTGCTTACATGCAGAGTGAATTTGATCCAAGAATATGCATCGCTTCATCATAGCATTAGAAATAATGTGGTCATGCCAAGGAATAGTTTATTTAGCTCTGCCTAATGGCATAATGGTACTAATATCACTCAAAACTTTGTAGGGTTTAATAGCAACTGTTAAGTCCTGTCCCAACTGCTGACGGAGACTCGAGACCAGCAGTGCTTCTACTTCCCTGTAGATGTTAAGTTTGAATCTGTCATCTGCTCATCAACACTTTTTACAGACAGATGAACTAGGCAGCCTTCATTTAAAATCTCAGAGGGAAAGGTTCCAGCCAGGATATTATCAGACAGGAGGAAAAAAATGGATGGAAAATGCTAACCCTGTAATCCAAAGTAAATATAATGCAGGAGCAGTGGGAGAGTGGGAATACCAGCAGTCTCATGAATCAGGCACCTTGACAACTACATGAGATCACATGTGGCATTCACTTCAAAACTGAGGTACACATCGAGAAGATGGGGTCAAGCTCCTGCAAAGCTTGTGGGAAGTCAGATCTTTCTAATACAGCCTACAGAGCAATTTCTGTAAAGCAAGTCATCACCATGCAACAGAGCTGAGATCCTTCAGGTATCTACCACGGAATCACTCTGAAACTCAAAGTGCTGTGGCAGGAGCAAGGCTTAGTAGCCCATTTGCAGCACCACAACTACACTGCTATATTGCTTTCAGAGTCCACACTGCCAACACCCACATGGTGTTTCACTGCAGGCTGTGAGTGTCTAGCAGGGTTAGGGATGCCTTCACCACGCACAGTGTCCCACTGCATGATGTAGACGCTGTATGTCAGTCTGCCCACTTTTGCCAATAAAACATCTGCATGACCTGTATAAATTCTACCAAAATTCTTCACGGACTCTGTGAAGTTACTGATACTTCTCTTTTTCGGGGAGGCAAACTCATGTTTGAGCAGACCTGAAGGAGAGTGGAGAGAGTGGAACTGATTTGTTTTAGTGGTAGGAATTAGCGGTGTTATTGTTATGACATTCTTAAGATTATTTTTTTTTATATGCTCATTAGATTTTTTGATACCTGCTCTTTTTGGGGTGGCCACAATGAGATACCCTAGCCCAAATGGATTTGCAGAAAATACTGGCCTGTTTCACTTGTGTTCAGCAAGTTCATTCAGAGTGTTTCAGGTTGGTCACCACCTGATCTTTTCCAGGAAAAACAAACCAGAATTAAGGATTAGGTGTCATTACAGAAATAATCTTCAGTAAAGCGAACCTGCTCTGCAACTAAAGAAATTTTCTTGTTGCTGCATTTTAATGTTGCCTTCTCTTGTTCCAGGATTATCTCGGTGCATGTATAGTTCTGACTGCGGCTGTCACTTCCATCACTGAAGGGCCTCACTCGGGGTTTGTGGGGCTGGGTCTCCTGTACGCTCTGACGGTATGTACCAAAGCAAAGTGTTAAGAACTTTCAGACCAACATACTAATTTTATAATATTTTTAAGAATACATATACGTGGTTATCTTCCAGCTTTCTTAACTTTGAAAAAAACAATCTTGCAAATAATGGATTCGAGCCAAAGTTGAGAGAGTTCAGGGCAACTTGGACTTGCTTCAGGTTTTATGAGCCAATTAAAAAAACACAACCATTCCCAGGCCCTGCATGCTCCCAAGCAGAGCAGGAAAATTAAAAATGCGTAAGAGGACCTGCTGTGCACTCTGTTTTGCACAACACAGTGTTGGTTCTGCCTGTACATGGCCAACCTGCCAGAAAATACTATTCCACAGACTGTCATAACCTGGGTAATCTTTAACCAAAGACCAAATAAAATAATTGCTGGAAAACCAGAAATACCAGTTCTGCCTTTGGAGGGAAACTACTTGGATGCCCAATATTGTTCATGCAATTCTGAATGGACTGGGACCTTTGGGGCTGGTAGACATGGTTCATTGTGACAGGTCGCAGTAGGAAAGCAGAGGAGATGGGGCTAGGAACGACGAGATTTTGGTGGCATACTAGCCGATTCATTTTGACTCTGTCGCTAGCATTGAGCTATTTGAGCTGAGCCATGGAGAAGGAACAGTGGTTTAATGTACTAGGCTGTAAGAGAGGCTGAGAGCGCATCATGAGCACAGAGTGAGTACGATCACTATAGAGAGTAGAAATATCACTGAATTAACCATGAGAGTGGGGACAAAAGCAGGATGAGGATAGTGGCAGGAAGAATGTTTGAAATCATGGCTGGCATGGCAAAAATCTGGCTGCTTTACGGCACTGGTATGAGGGAGGGATATGGGTATGGGTCTAACACCATGTGTTGGCTTTGCTTGTAAATGCTGGCAAGCCTATGGTTACAACAGAAAGTTCTCGGCAGCTGCCTTAGGGTGGCCTTAGATCCCCTTTGTGCCGCTGTTGCAGCAGTGTGAGAATCTGCCAGCAGCTGAGAATCAGTCCCAGTGCTTCAACTTCACTCCGAAAACATTCCTCGTAATCCTGCTTCATTAGCAGAGATCTGGAAGCGCCAAGATGTCTGCATCATCTTTGGCTTCTTTGTATTTAGTCTGTCTTTGCAAACAGATCATTAGCGTAAATTAGCCATGTGCTGAAGTCTGGCACAGCAGAGGAAAAACCGCTGTAGTCACCAAGTGATTACCTGTCTCTCTCCTGCCCCACGATGACACTGATGAAACTTTGAATGCAGTTGGATCATTACCTGTGTCCCCTGGCACAGGTTTTTGTATCATTGCTCTTTGGAGCTAAGATGGAGCTGATGTTTGGACCTGGATGAGAGCAAACTGTTCGTACCAACGTTCTGTTTACAGTAGACATCCATAAGCGTATTCTCTCCCCTTGTATAAACACCGCCAACTCCCTTGCACAACTGCGACGAAGGTTGAAATAATGACTAGAGCCTTTTGGATGCCAGGCTCTGTTATCAAATCTGCCAGCTCTCTGATTGGAGCCTGCTACTCTGCAAGCAGCGGTTCTGCAGAGTCTTTAGCTTATCTGCAAAGGTACCCATTTCTGTAACTTCCTGACTCAAAAACTGGATGCAGAATGAGTGGGTTTCTGAACAACAAAGAAAATACTTCACACTACCCCCTAGAATAATTCTGTCTTAAGGATAAAGCAAGCAACTAAATCCTCTAAATTGACAACAAATGTTATTGCTGAATCTCAGTAAAAAAAATATACTGTATCGCTATTGCATCAGTATTAGATAAGTGGAAAAGAAGTGAGTCTGGGTGATTTATTCATAATACATTTCTTTTTTGGCAAATTCAGCAGATCTCCCACAAATAAATGACAAAACCTTTCTCTGAATGTGTTTGTGTACAGGATGTTTTCACTGTCTATTTCTAAACATTTATTCAGGCATGTAAAGTATCTCAATTTTTAAAGGTGCTTGGCAATCAACTGTTCCTGGTAAAATCAGTGGGTTTTTTTCAGATGAGCACCTAAATACAGACTTTAGGAACTTACATTTAGGAAATTGCTTTACAATTTTCAGCCTTAAATATTCAGGCCTGGCTAAAGATCAGTTTCTTTAAGCTACTGGGTATTGTTAGGCAATGAATTATCAACTATTATCTACTACAATTAATACCTTTACTATCAATTAAATCCTTTTGCTTACAAATGGGATTAAAAACCAAGAAGAAAATACCATTGAGCTGATAATGCATTATTTCTCGCATATTTTCATGCTAAAAGAACCTCACATTTTCCACAGAGTAATAGAAATGAGTTATCTAAATATGCACAGAAGGAAACAGAAATGAAATGCCCATTGAATCTTTTAAATATATTTGCAAATAGGAAACTTTCTTAATCTTTATTTGCAGTCTTTGAAAGATTAAAAAATGCAGTATTTCCAAACAGTGATTTTTTTTTCTGTGCTCGTGTGCTTAAAGAAGATGCCTTTCAGTACTGATTACTACTAGATGCTGAGAACAAGAGATTCCCTTAATCAGTCGCATCTTCAGCCTGTAGGAACAGCCTTTCCATACTTTTCCTTCAAAAAACAAGGATGAGAATACCGAGCACTAAATTACTACGTCAGGGTTGTTTGTATTGGAGTATGACTGGCTTATTACATATTTGATGCTGTTGCACTGAGTCCTGAACGTCCATAAGAGACCCACAGTGCTGAGTCAGGCCAACGACTATTACAAATTTATCCAACCTTTATTCGCAAACAGGTAGATGAACAGACAGAAGGCTGAACCCTGTCCTTGTTTTCATTTTGTGATGCAGATAACCAACTATTTGAACTGGGTGGTGAGGAATCTGGCTGATCTGGAGGTGCAGATGGGTGCAGTAAAAAAAGTGCACAGCTTCCTGAACATGGAGTCGGAGAACTATGATGGCTACTTGGGTATTGCACTCTAATCTTTTTGGGTTTTAATGTGGTAATGTGAAAGCACAGTAGCCTTGGTCATGTAAAATGTATAACAAAATCCATTTGCATTGTCATGTAGGAACTCCCACTGATCTTAGTGACAAGGATAGACAAAAGCTGCTATAAGATACATAGCCCATGTTAGTCAACATTAAAAAACCCCTACCAAATCCCAGGGAGCCAGAGCATGGCCCTGTAGGACAATCAGAAAGTACCAGGGCACAGTTATAGATGGGATGAACAAAACATCCATGTGCCTGTTCAAAAACCAAAAATATAGATAAAAATTAGAAATGCATCATCAGTCACATGCTTCAAAATCTCTGGTCTTTGCAGAAAAAGGGAACTACAGGACAGGGGTGTGTTAGCAATTGGGCCTCAGCAAGTCTTCCCTGAACTGCACGTTGCTGTTTATACTCCCCATATTTCAAATTGGCTTTGACTGGTATTTTAGATGTGCTTGAAGTGCAAGGCCAAAAAAGGTCTCAGGTTAGCAAGCTTCCCTGGAAAGTCAAGCCCATTAGTCTGGAGACAAAACCTGCCCGCGTATTTGCCAATCAGGATGAAATATGAGCTGTGATAATGTCAACAGCTCATGTTGTAAGGCAGTAGCAACAGCCTTCCTTGCACTGCCCTTCCTGTGCCGGTTACTGACCGAAGAACATGTTAACACTGTGCCGACACCACATTCTTCTCTGCTCATTTGGCTTCTCCCGTTTCATTGCCAAGAGCCACTTTAGCATTTGCCCTCTCGTCTTACATGTCAAGATCTGGGAGCTAAGTGCTAACGTGCCTGCCCGGGTGTTCCCAGCTCTCCCTCGGCAGGGAAGAAGAATTCCGTTTCTTGAGTGGCTTCAAGACGGTCCCCAGGCAGGAGAGAGGGGGAAAGGGGAATGTCATAGAGGGTGACCCTCTGATAGCATCATTTTGATTTGTTTTTCTGTAACTGTTTCAGATCCCTCGCAAGTCCCCAAAGACTGGCCCCAGGAGGGGGAAATCAAGATTGAAAATTTGTGCGTTCGATATGAAAACAACCTGAAGCCTGTTCTAAAGCACGTTAAGGCATACATCAAACCAGGACAAAAGGTACTGTTGTCAAGCAATTGCCTATCATCCTCATTCTGGAGCAGATCCTTCCTTATTGTGTTTTCTTTTCTAAGGTGCAGAAGAGCAAGAATAACAACAATTTGCAGTGACAGCTATATGCATTGATGGTCTTCTCTGAGGTCCCCGGGCATGGGTCAAGAAACTTATGACATCTTATTCTTGGCTGGGATCAGTTTTCCTTCTGAGAGTCCCACTTCTTTCCAAGTCCATCTCACATAGAGTAAGCCTAGGTGGCCAGATGACATTAGATGAACATCAGACTGGAACTGAGTAAAAATGCAAGAATATCTCACATTTTAGCATATAGTGTCATTGGAGTCCAGGTCAAAATGCTGAAGCTTCAAAAATGTTTCTGGGGCAAGTCCTCATGATCTTCAGAGGCAGAAAAGAGGAGTGTGCTTGCCATGCTCTTTTTGGTTTTTCCCTGGTGTCTGCCACTGGCCATTGGGAAGAACCTTTCTTCTCACCAGTAGGGCAGTCCAGTCCAGCTTTCCCAGAAGGACTGCAAGTCTGATTTACGGCTTCCCTCCATAAGTAAGTAACATCTTGCTTGCTTTTGCAGGTTGGGATCTGTGGTCGTACTGGCAGCGGCAAGTCATCCCTGTCTTTGGCGTTCTTCAGAATGGTGGACATATTTGATGGTTAGTTTTCACTGGAGTATGTTGTCACTCCTGACCTGCTCCCCCCTCATTTCTTCAGAAGAAGCAAGGAGACTTTTTGATAGTTTATATCCTGGCTCTCTGGCTCAGAAGATACTTGATTAGAATGGGGCTTGTTATGCCTGATCCTTCAAATTACAAAATGTCCTATTGTGAGTAGCACTTGGCTCTTTCAGGAAATATTACTCACAGGTTATACTTCTAATTTTTTAAATTTTTTTTTGCATATGCTTTGACAAAACAATATACTATTTTTGAGATTGGAGGAAAAAATATGCAACTCTCTGGAGCCTCTAAATTTCTCCCTAAAGAATAACTACATTAAATTATGATAGCTGTCAAAATGCTAGTGGAACAGAAACTAGAACTTAACAAGTCCATTCCCTTGATATTTGTTTTTTATTTTATTGTGGTTTCCCACAACTACAGCAGAAACTGACTAAAGGTTTTGGAAACATTTTGCTATGTTTTCACTCCTACAGTACTTCACTCTATCAGCTAATTGAAATGAACTGGTATGTGGCAATATGCACCCTGGCATTTATAATACATATACATGTGTACTCTTGCAGGAATATGGAAACCTACTGGAAAGTCATCTTTTTGTTTCAAAGATTTCCATCTTTCTAATTTAGCTTTTGTACATGGACTGTTTGCTAGGGAAACTCCAGTAGGATGTCAGAGGATAAGTAAATCTGATGCAGCTAATACTTGCCTTTGTTGTGGTTCTGTGCCTATAGGTATCTTCGGTAATAGGTTTCTGATTCATGCCCGGGATTCATGGATATATAAATAGTGCAAACAAATAATAGTGGCCATAAACAAGTGGCCAGTTTTAAGTTTCCTTCTACTTTAATCTTCTTTCTGTATCTTTTCTTTCTCTGTTCCTTCTGTATCCCTGATTTTTCCCAATGGGAATGCCTAAGTCTTTTCTAATCAAGCTCTGTTTATCCTTTGTGCATATCCCTCTCTCTCTGTCAGCTAGACCCATATTTGGCCTCTCTGCTGGTCCACTTCTGGGTGGAGTCCTGGCTCTAATAAAAGTTACATAACAAGATTTCTAGTAACTTTACTGGAGCCAGATTTCATTCATGTCGTCCATCTTGGTTCCTTATGGCTCTGTTGTTTCTTTGGATTTGTATGTGTTCCATGTTATTCCCTTACTCTCACTTCTTTCTTTGTTCTTTACTGTTTCCCTTTTCTTGCCATCTGTTCAAACCACCTCTTATTTCTCTTCTGTCTTGCTTGGCCATCCCTCATAACTTTCCCAGTTTCCCAACTCCTCTCTAATTTACTTTTTTCCCTTAGGTCTCCTCATCTGCTCTTCTCTTTTCCTTGAACACCCTGGCTTTCATCAAAAATGCATTCCTCTATTCCCCAACGCATGCCATATTAATTTTTCTCTCATTAGTCCACCTCATCTTCTGCTAATCTTCTCTCATGTCCTCATTTGTGAAGAAAAGGAATTGCTTAAGTTTATGCAACCACCGATGTCTCATCCTGAAGTTTTATGACCTGATTCAGACTTTCTGAAAGTCTGAAAACAATTGGACTTTGCGCTCTACAGATGAAATCTCTGAACTTCTAATAAAAGCTTAAGACTAATGGTAGTCCAACTAGGTAGTGATTAAGTCTTTCATTGGAATAAGGCCACATAGAGTAACCTGCAAAATGCAGTTACCATGACAATTGGGAATGACAGAAGAGGCATACGTGCACAGCTTTGAATATCCATGTATTTGCCAGTTCATGGTTAGTTTCTCACTGTTGGGAGAGAGAACTGATGAACTTAATGTTAGGTACTTACCAGGGCTGAGTGCAGCTGCCCGGTGAAGTAATCCACAGGGAAACTGCAGAAGTAAGCCTGATGAAAATACCCCTTACCATATCCTTGTTCAATTTGCCCTGGCCCATCCCTTCCCCATAACCCAGAGGAAGTTTCTGTGTCCAGTCAGTAGGATCAGTAGTTCCTGGCTTTTGTTTGAGGATTCAAAGGAAGAGATTTCTTCTGCCTTTCTCACCCTCTTCTACTTACAGAGCAGCCAACCAGTTTCTCTTGTATGTTTCCCCCATCTCCCTCACCTGAATTATCAGCAGTTGCCACACCCAGCACATCATAAATCAGATTTTCAGATGATATCCATGTGGTTATGGACCTGAAGTAGTGCCTAGAAAAGGAAAAAATCCTCTTTCTTTACCAAGTATCCCAGCTGTTGCAGCAACTTCTTGTAGGGGAATGAACTACTAGGTTAAGGAGTGATTAATGTGACTGCTTCCAGTAATCTTACGTTAGCAGAACAGTATGTGGCTAATTCACAACCAAATACTTAAATGAAACGAGCTGTAAGGACCAGCATGAATGGTATTGAAATGCCTTAAAGTAGGTCATCCTTTTTGTTTTTCTGAGCTGCCTCCTGTTAAAAAGTTAATGCTACTCCATTCCTTCTAGAGTTCAAAGGATAGTTTTGGGTCCTGATGTATGGATTGCAGATACATACATATATTATGCAAAAGAAATTGTGCACAATCTCAAATTAAATACCTTCTGCAACTGTTAAAGTGAAGGGGAAAAGAGAAAGGCACAGGACATGGCCAATTACATAAGTTGCTCTTGTTCTCACTCTGGCTGTAAAGCTCAGGTTGCCCCATAATAAATTATCCTTCTGGTGCTATCATTAATTACATAACATGGAAGCCACGTATTTCCTTTAAGGGAGGGCAGGGGAAAAAGAAAAGAAAAGAAAGAGACAAAAGCACTGATAAGCTGGGTTCCCTCTGGCTTGTGTTACTACATACATTCACCTTCCCCATGTTTATATGACAGTGCTGAGAGATCGCGGAGGCACACTGCCTCATCAACTGGAGCCCAGGCCAGACTAGCTGTTTTGTCTTTCTGCCTGCTACCTACAGATCACGCGCTTTGTGCAATTGCCTCACATGTCTTCTGCATGGTGTTTTAAACAGGGAGGATAGTGATTGATGGAATAGACATCAGCAAATTGCCTCTTCATACTCTCCGTTCCCGACTCTCCATTATTCTCCAGGATCCAATATTGTTCAGTGGCTCCATCCGGTAGGTATATGCCATTAGGGGGTGACAAGCAGCATCGCATGGCGTGTTTGTGATGGGCGCTGTAGAACAGGAAGGGGTGGAAAATGGAAGCAACCTTCCTAGCTCAGTCCAGTCTATCTACACTGTCTGTCCAAGGGAAGTCAAGTGACAGACAGAATGCCAAAATTTTCCTTTACAGAAGACCTGACTGAACTGTAATTGCAGTTACAAGACTCCTGTTATGGTTTTCTTTGCAGCTTTAATTTGGATCCAGAATGCAAGTGCACCGATGATAGACTCTGGGAAGCTCTGGAGATTGCTCAGTTGAAGAACATGGTCAAGTCATTGCCAGGAGGCCTTGGTATGTCTGAACCAAGTCTGTAGGAACATAGGCCAATAATGAAATTATGCATGCACGAGCATGCACACATATAAACAGATACATGGGATCTTTCACTCTAACCATCATGCAGGAGTTGACAGGCACCTAATGAATATTCTGTCTCTACACTAGAGAGAATATTCTTACTAAAAAGCTGAAGAGTAGTCTGGTTTTCCACTCATTGCAGAAAAATTGTGCAGCACCTCAGCATCATACCGGGCTGATTAGTCAGCAAAGGGTTAAAAAAGAGCAGTTTTACCTCCACTCCTTCAGCAGAATCTGGCTCTGCCAGCAGAGCTGTAGGTCTTGTCTAGAACACTGATGGAGCATTTTCCTTATCATTTCAGATCTGGTTCATGAAGGAAACTCACGTATTTCCTTCCATATTAAGTGTATTTCATATTACTAAGATACTATCCTGCAGCCTACCAGATTTGCTATATGTGCCAACTATTTGCTTAATGATATATTGCTCCTTTCCCAAGAAGCTGTGCTCGCTTTTCTTGGTATCACTCCGTTGCAGTGTTCAGTCAAGATTATGCTTATTGGCTTTTACAGGGATTTTGCTTGACCCTGGAATAGCGCGCAAGCAGAGCTTTCACGGTGCCCACTCAAAATCACCGGGTCCTGACTGTATGAACGTACAGCATTTCAGTGGTGCGACATTCAAAGTAACTGATTTTATTACAGATGCAATGGTGACAGAAGGAGGAGAGAACTTCAGCGTAGGGCAAAGGCAGCTCTTCTGTCTGGCCCGAGCCTTTGTCCGCAAGAGTAGCATTCTCATCATGGATGAAGCCACAGCATCTATTGACATGGCCACAGTGAGTATAGCAACTAGCACCATCGATGCATGAATCTACGAGGAGGCATCATCCTCCCTCAGCCACGAGATCTCTTTAGCAGAGAAAACTGACAGCTTTTTTGCTTTTCTCTTGTGTTGTTTCAGCTGTTTCTGTTGATGTGTTTTCGGGTTTGATGCCTATGGTCATGGGAAAAAAAGACTAAATGTTTTAGAAAATTCCTGCTTTCACTAATATATCTGTACAGTGGCATTTCATTACTGAGAATCTGGTGTGCAGATCAGAGATAGTATGGAATATGATCTTCTCTCCTATGTGCTTGAAGACACATGAATTAAAATGTAAAAGGAGGAAGTAACTGAAGTAAACCTTTTCCTTTGATAGGAAAACATTTTGCAGAAGGTTGTGATGACTGCCTTTGCAGACCGCACAGTTGTAACAATAGCGGTAAGTACTGATGCCAGCAAATGCTCTCCTTCCTCATTTCCCAGGCACTTAATCTTCCCTTTCACCAGTTAAACATCATGACATAAAACTAACAACACCACAAAATAAAACTAAAACACAAGGTCAGAATATTCCCAGATACTAGAACAAGTCAAGACGCATACTATCAACCTGAAATTTTGCAGTAAATGCTATCTTGCAAGTGGGCCAAACTAAAACACTTACATCTGAAGAAGGACTTTACAGGCAACTTCAGCCTCTACACTGTCTCCAAGAAAATCTGAAGTCATTCTCACTAAAAAATTGAAATCGAACCCATGGGTTAAACCATTATTGAAAGTTGAGTCAAAATCTAGATTTGAATTTTGCCTCTGAAGTCTGTGCATGTGTGGTGTCTACAATCATGGCATGGATTTATAAAAGGAGCTGAGATTTCAAAAGCTTGGTGTGGTTTCTCAAGTTGGGTTATGTTTCAGAATAAAAAATTGGTTTTATGATAAAGGTTTTAAAAATTGCTATCAATGGCAATTGCTCAAAAATTAGTATCTGTTCAACTAAGGGTTTCTGATGCTTTTTCCTGTTTTCCTGCCATTTCTAGTGCCCCAAAGTTCCATATATCTGTCCAGGTATGTACATGTATGTGCATATGTATACATGCATATGCACATGTGTATGCACATGCGTATACACACATACACAGTGTTCCACCTTGTGATGGCAGGCTTACTCAATGAACAGATGTTCTATCCACGAGATAAATACGTGTTTCAACAGCTGTTTAATTTGCTTTGTCTGGAATCTAGTCCTGCGGTTAGAGGTTAGAGTTATACCTCCTGGACTCTGGTTTCAAGTCTGTCAGTGACTAGTTTGTGTCAGGCAAACCACTTAACCTAGCTCATTTACAATAGGCTCTAAGGTTCTTGGATGTGTAAATGCTGAAGATGCTAGCAGTAAGCACATTCTCCTTCAGTCACATGCCATTCAAATTTTCAGTATTGTCCTTCTGACCGGAATCTCACTTTTCTTTTGCTTTGCCTTTCCAAAGTCGGTGTCTGAAGCAAAATGGCACACGTTAATATTTAACTTTCCTCACAGAGTTGGCTTCATTTCCTTTCTCTCTTCATTCACAGCTGATCCTTCCTTCACCCACCTGTTTTTCTTCTCTTTTTTCCAGCATCGTGTATCTCATATCTTGGACGCCAATATTGTCCTAGTCCTTTCTGAGGGCTTTCTAGTTGAATGTGACACTGCCTCAAACTTACTCCTCAAAGAGGACGGCCTGTTCACCACTTTGGTGAAGACTCACAAGTAGACTCTCTCAGTCCACACTGCTCACGAGACTTCTGGCTCTTTGGTAGTTATTTTTACCTCTTTAGTTTCCTTTCACTCTGCTTGCTTTCTACTGCGTAACTTCTGAGACGGCAGTGCAAGAAGGTGTTTATTGTGTTGTTTCTGGGTTTGCTTAATTTCATGACTATTTATCCTAGTCATATTGAAGTAAAGCTTAGATTGCAGCTAACATTGAATCTACAATGTCAAAGGAATCCACCCCATAAACTAATCCCTGACCTTCAGCCTATATAGTGAAATATCAGACTTTTAGAGTTCACCCTGTCTATACCTGACTGGCTGTATTCATACGGCATTGAAACCCAACTCAGTCTGGTTTCATTCCTGTTGCCTATGGGGATAAAGTATTGCCTGTAGCGCACTCAAATTTAATCTCAGAGGGAACTAACTGATTTACAGGAGACAGCCC